TGTTACAACTGAGTGAACTTTAAATGAGGTTTTTGTAATTTTTAAAATGTTAGGGGTACTGTTTGTAATTAAGTCTAACCTTGAGGGAAGTAAGTGATATTTTCTCTAAATAATAATACGATTTGGACAATTGAACGTAAGCTTATATGCTTGTCACAGAGGAGTGTGTCTGTTTGCTTGAACTCTTTCTGTATATGCATGTTGCTTTATAAGTGTTCTATTTACAGCATATCAGAGGATAGTATAATCGTATAAAACTCTTTGGTTTGTTCTGATCATTTATAAATTCTCTGATTCAATGATACAGGTATAATCAAGTAAGAGAATAACAACACAAACATACAGAAGAATCTTGTTCCAACCTCAGAGGAGAAGAGAGGGTGGGTTTAGGGGGGATTTGCAAGGATTGAAGGCTTCCTTCCAACATTTCTACCACAGTATTCATTGATGAGCGATCTGTTGGATTCGTCTGAATGCACCACAAACTCACTATGTTCATTTTCCTTACAGTTACTTTTTCTTCTTCAATTGCAACACCATAGGGTCTTAGATCCTCACCATCTTCTAACTTCTCATATATTAAGTTCGGAAAATATTTTTCACTTGAATGGATTATTCTGGCTTCAATATCATTTCTTCCACCAATCATTTCAAGAATCACCATTCCATAGTTGTAGACACTTATGAGAGACCCTTCCAAAATTCCTAGAAAGTACTTCTGGAGCAATGTATCCAGCAGTTACCTTTGCATCCTCCATCGACATAATACTCGTTTTCCTCTGGCCTAATTTTGCAAGGCCAAAATCAGTGATCTTGGGACATAAGTCATTATCCAAAAGAATGTTATGAGGTTTTATGTCAAAATGAACAATCCTTGTACTGCAACCTCGATGTAAATACTCTAGCCCCCAAGCAACTCCAACGGCAATTCGGTACAATATTTTACAATCTAGATGAGAGTTTGAATTCGGATGTCCATCATTATAGATGAACTTGTCCAAATATCCATTGCTCATGAATTCATAGACTAGAGCTCTTATTTTCCTCTCATAACAGAAACCTAAAAAGGTGACTACATTGACATGGGAAGTTCTACTAATGGTAGCAATTTCATTAATAAAATCCTCTCTGTTACCTTTGTTCTTGCTCAAGACCTTCACTGCCACAAGCTAACCATCTACTAGCTTTTCTTTGTACACGATACCATATCCTCCTTGACCTAGTTTGTTTTTGAATGAGTTGGTCATTATTCTAATATCAGAATAATTATACAGCTTTGGAACATAGGAACCATAATTCCTAAAAAATGCCTCCTCATTTTGATTTTTCATGGTTTTCTTCCTTCAGAAGTATTTTCTTCTAATGTAGTAGATCATTGGAATAGAGATTAATAGTATAAGTCCCATAGCAGAATATTTAGAAAGCTTTATAGTTTTAGAAACAGATCCGTGTCTTTCTAACTTTACTTATTTTAACAATTAAATAATTAATCTCATGCAAAATAAAATAAAACAAAGTAAAGAGTTAAAGATGACACAAGGATTTTTAGCGAGGAAACCCAGTTGATAAAATAGATCTAATAATCAATTTGGTCCCAAGGTAAGGATTAACCTGTTACACCAAAAATTGCAATTAACATAAGCTAGAACAAAGCTGCAACAATTTGACCTACAATATAGCCTCCGCCATCCCTCAGACCAGCAAGGGGTAGTATAGAAATATTCACATGTTGTCTATCAATTTCGTCTTTCATCTTTCTGCCTGATCGTAGGCCCCAACTCACCCTCCTTGCCTCCATGACGAGGGAACTCTCTTGAGAGTATTACTCTATTAAATTTATACAGCCAAATTTGATTATCTAAAAGACTTGTCCAGTTTATTTCGTTTGGGTGCATGAATCTATTTTTTTTGTTAGTCCATTCTTCTAATTGGAATTAATGTTGACATCGGCTTGCTCCTGTCGACTGTCCATGTATTCTTTGGCCCCCTAGGGACCATGCTGGTCTTCAAACCTGCATTAAATTGGTGCAATAATCAATCTTGTTCACATATTAACCAAATCATTCACTAATCTTCTACATGCTGCAAATTTGATGGTTCTTTTAATGAAATCTTGATGTAATCATCCACTAACATCTCAATGATCCTTGACAAAATGACAATGACATTAGAAAATACTTACTTGAAATTTGATGGTTGTTTTGAAAAATTCTTGATGGAAGTATCCACTAACATCTCAATGATCCATGACAAATGACAATGATATTAAAAAAATACTTTACTTAAAAGTTAATAATGTTAGCAAGCTTTGTCTACCACATATGGAGGAACGCAACAACAGAATCTTTCGTAATTTGAGTGGTGCTCCATCAAAAACACTCAATACAATTGTCAATTCGATAAGATAACAAACTATTCTCCATCAAGAAATGTTCAAGTCCACATGTTCAAGAAATTGCAAAAGATTGGAACCTACTCAGCTCATTCTACGAACCAGCCCACTCGAACCTCTTCTACTCATTTCCCCCACTTCCCAACCACAACCAGCACTACAATTGCCATAGCCAATTCCCAAACCTTTTATACACTTTAGAACTTGTTGATGAATTCCCGCCCATGCTTATCCATTGAGTTTGATATTTTGAGACTCTGATATCCACATTGGTTCAAAAAAAAAAAAAAAAAAATCCATATTGGGCCAACTACTTGGACAATCTGAATGTGTTTTATTACTTTGGACTTATTGCCTTTTTTATTTTTTATTATTTTTTTGTCATTTTATTTTTGCTTGGGCTTATGGCCCAATGTTTTTCTTTTATGCTCCATTTGGTGTTTAAGAATTGAATTGAATGCAAGTGGGAATGGAATGAGAATGGGAATGGAATGAAATGGCCATTCTCATTCTGTTGTTTGGTTGTAAATATGATATGTGTAGGAATGAAATGATAATAACCATTCTAAGTTTGGTTGACCAATTTAAATTTTAGAATGGAATAAATTTCAAATTGAATTTTTCAAAATATCCCTCTAGTAACAAATAAATTAAATTAACAAAATGACATTCTCCAATAATTTTTTAAAAATAAATGGTGGCAGTGGCGGTGGTAGAGGTGGAAAGCGGTAGTGGTGTTGGGTGGCGGTGGCAATGGTGGAAAGTGGCGGCGGTGGCATTGGTGGAAGGTGGCGACGGCGACAATGGTGGAAGGAGGTGGCAGTAATATGATGGTGGTGGTGAAAGGAGATAATGATCTAGGTGGCAGTGGTAGAAGCCCATGGAGGTGACTATGATAGTGGTGGAAGGTAGTGGAAGTGGTAGTGGTGGAAGGTGGTGGCAGTAGTGGAAAACTGTGGCGGTGGTGGTGATGGAAGGTCGTGGAAGGCGATGCAGTGGAAGTGGTGAAAGGCGGTGGTGGAAGGCAATGGCGGAGGCGGCGGCGGCGGCGGTAGTGGTGGAAGGCGTTGACAGTGGTGGTGGAAGGCGTTGACAGTGGTGGTGTAAGGCGGTGGCGGTGGAAGGCAGTAGCGGTAGTGAAAGGTGGTAGTGGTGGCGGAGGAAGGCGGTGGCAGTGGTGGTGACAAGCGGTGGTGATGGCAGCGGTGGTTGCGGCAAAGGAAGGCGGTGTCAGTGATGAAATGTGGTGGCAGTGGTGGTGAAAAGCAGTGGCGGGGCGATGGTGAAAGTCGGTGGTAGCGGCGGTGGTGGAAGACAGTGGTAGTGGTGGTGGTGAAAGGCGGAGGTGGTTGTGGTGGAAGGTAGTGGTAGTTTTTGGACTTGAAAATGATGGTTTTTTGGGAGATTGATTTTTTTAAAAAATTAACTTGGGAATGGAATGACCATTCCATAGGTTTAGTTGTGGAATTGATTTTCATTCTCAGGACTGGATTTTCATTCCAATGGAATGGTCATTCCCACTTTAAATGGTATTCCAAACAAAGGAATAGTTGGAATCGACATTCCATTCCATTCCATTCCTGCACACCAAACGTAACATTATGGAATGCCCCTATGTACATTTGTAATGTTTTCTCTTTCAATGCATACTTATTTACCACCAAAAAAAAAAAAAACATGAAAAATGCCATAATGTGACTAGAATTTTGTGTGGAATTAATTAATTAATTAATTTAGTGACATTCTCTTTCCTTTATTATGTTATAGTAGTAACTCATTTGAAAACACCTTTAGAATGGTCTGTTTTGTAGTTAATATAGTCCTAGCTACCAAATTTATGGACATTTTAACAATTTTGAATTGGATTTTGGATTCCATGCACTGTATGAGGCTGATTCGTTATTTATTTATTTTTATTTTTTATTTGAATTAAATAGTAATAAAATTTTAAAATTGCTCCCACAGAAATTATAAAAAAAAAATCACTATTGCCCCCACAACATAGGCCACCCCCTACCTAATTTTTTGAGTCGTCCCTGGTTCAAATAGATCTATTCTGATTTTCAAAAGAGAGTTAAATTGACTACAAAAAAAAAAAAAGAAACATAAAATTGCATAGATGTACTTCAAAAAGAGCTAGCCAATGTCACATTCCAACAAGGACCATTAATTTTACAACTTGAGTCTCTCTCAGTCTGATATTTGATACAAGCCAATGCCTAGCTGAAGGTAGTGACTCCATTGAACCGATTAAGCGAAGCACTTCATCGACAGAGCTTCAGTACAGAAGGAGGTATTTCACTCAGTGAAGACCTGAACTTCTTCAAAGAGTTGATATGGTTCTTAATTTCAACTGGTTTTTGTGCTCAGTTGAAAGAAAATGAAGAGAGAATGCTGAAGGAAATTCAGAGAACTTTTATTTATCTATTCAGTTAATAGAATTGTTGTAGTAAGCCAGACAACAATTCTACTTTTGCTACAATTCAAGATAAGAAAAGAGGAAAAATACAATCATGGAGAATCAGTATCAAGACAAAAGAACATCAAAAGGAAAAAATATAACCATAGAGCTCATTGGCATTAGCCATTCAATTTTAAAACTATGGTTTTTAGTCTGTACTAGAACTTTGTGCTAATGAAGAAGAACCTTGTTCCAACCTAGGAGGAGGAGCTAAGACGGGTTTAGGTGGAATTTGTAAGGATTGAAGGCTTCCTTCCAACATTTCTACTATAGTAGTCATTGATGGCCGATCTGCTGGATTAGTCTGAATGCACCACAAACTCACTATGGTCATTTTTCTTGCCGTTTCCTTTTCCTCTTCTGTTGTAACACCGTTGAGTCTTAGATCCTCACCATGTTCCAATTGCTTATAAATATAGTCGGGAAAATATTTTTCACTTGAATGGGATGTCCTAGTTTCAATATCATTTCTTCGACCAACTATTTCAAGAATCATCATTCCGTAACTGTAGACATCAGATTTATGATAGACACCTCCAAAATTTCTCGAAAATACTTCTGAAGCAATGTATCCAACAGTTCCTCTCGCACCCACCATGGACATAATACTCACTTTCCTCTGGCCTAATTTAGTAAGGCCGAAATCAGCGATTTTGGGACAGAAGTCATCATCCAAAAGAATGTTCTGAGGTTTTATATCAAAATGAACAATCCTTGTGTTGCAACCTCGGTGTAAATACTCTAACCCTCGAGCAACACCAACTGCAATTTGGTACCGTGTGTTGCAATCTAGATGACAATCTGAATCCGGAGATCTATCATTATAGATGAACTTGTCCAAAGATCCATTGCTCATGAGTTCATAGACTAGAGCTCTTTTGTTCCTTTGATAACAAAAACCTAAAAAAGTGACTACATTGACATGGGAAGTTCTACTGATGGTAGCAACTTCGTTGATAAATTCCTCTCCATGTCCCTTGGTCTCGCTCAAGACCTTCACTGCCACAAGCCGACCATCTAAAAGCTTTCCTTTGTACACGACACCGTATCCTCCTTGACCTAGTTTGTCTTGGAATGAGTTGGTCATTCTTTTAATATCTGAATAATTATATCGTTTTGGAATATATGATCCGTAATTCCTAAAAAATTCATCGACACTTTGATCATTCATTGTTTTCTTCCTCCATAAGTTTTTTCTTCTAATGTAGAAGAATATCAAAATAGAGATTAATATGAGTCCAGCCACAATTGCAACGATGCCGCCTGTATGAAATGAGTGGAGAAAGGTCACATATTCAAATTTATACTAGACATTCACCATATCTTAAATGGGCTTGTGGATGAGTAAATGGACTTAGAACTTATGCTGAAATATAGATTGCTTTAAACAATTTTTGGCGCCGAATAAAGGGAATTAGCTAGATTAGTTTATATAACTAAAAGTACGTGCAATATGTAAAAAGATTGTCTTCCCAGAAATGTTGAGCAAAATGTAAGGAGCAAAGAGACATTAATTTTCTATTATATTATGTTACCTACTATAATCTTCAGCCGACTTCTAGTCGATCCTGTAACATAAGAGAAAAATTAGTTGGATGAGTACTAACATTAAATTAACATCTATAATGCATTACAACTGCAAATGAAGATGATGCTGCTCACAACCATAACATAGAAGTACTTTGTGATGGATGGTTAATTTTGTATTTACATTTGAATAATAAAATTATAGTTAAAACTAAATAAACAAGTACTTTGTATGCAAGGAGCACAGACTATTTTTCTGTTATATATATATATATATATATATATATATATATATATATATATATATATATATATATCTCACCTGTTACAGTGTTTGGCTGGTTTGTAGAGTTGGGCTGATTTCCAAAGTTGGGCTGGTTTGTAGAGTTGGGCTGGTTTCCAGTTGATCCTGTAATGTACGCAAGAGAAAAATTAGTTGGATGATTAGAATCATAGTTCAGAACTCCGAAAATTAGTTAATTTTGTTGTATTTACATTTCAATGTTACAAAATTATACTTTATACTAAATATGGTAAATTGCAAAAAAACCACTTCAACTATTATAATTTCTTAGATATTCCCCTGAACTTTCGTTTTAGCACAAAATCCCTTTTAACAATTCTAAACTAGAGTAATACTATGATGGGTGATCAGAACCCTTGGCAAGTCTGTGTGTTACACCCTTTTTTTTTTTTGACACATTAGTCCGAATGGTATAAACTCTCCTTCCCAAATGGGGAGGTTGAGTGAGTGTTCAAGACTCGGAGCACGTACCGTTACTGTTGCAGTGGAATGCACGGGGCTGATCAGGGCAAAAGCAAGTAAACATAGTGGAATTGGAATCAAAACCGCACCGTCCACCTGATTTTACAAATTGTTCGCAGTATGTATCATTTGCTGTCTGGTACCGCAACCCGAAGCCACCATCAAGAGCTTCTCCTATGCTTAACGAATAATTGCTTTTTAAAGCCTCAACTGCTGATCTAAAAACCGCAACAATGACGCTGCCTTCGCATTTTCCCAGGAAAATGTTGGTGTTTGCCCTTAAATCCGGGGACACGTAATAAGCCTCGTTGTTGGTGGCACCATTCCCGGTCACTGTGCAATCAAACTCAATGATCGGCACCAGGGATTGGGATTGGGATGCCACGGCGCAATTACCATAGAACAAAGTCATGTTCTGTGTATCCGAAGTGTAATCGAAGAGTTTGCTAGGAGTTAAAGTGGTGTTATTGTTGGGAAACGTGCTAGTTTTAAAAACTTTTCGAGGGATTTAAATTCATAGATCTTGATTCATCACATAGAGACAAGTTTTATGCAAAAAAATAATAAAATAAAATATGATGTATTATTCAACTAAAATATTGAATACTTACATCAAGGTTTGAGTAAACCTCAGATCTCTCCTCTAAAGTGAATGTTCTCACTTATTGTAGATCACTTTTGCTAGACATCTTTTCCATGGATCTCCATCTTCTTGGTAATGGTCTTGCCTTTAGGAATCACTCATAAGCCTCCTTGAATGACCTTGGAAAACTAGGCTTGTGGGAGCCTCCATTAGATGAGAACATAAACCCTAATTTTCTAGAGAGAGAAAATTTATTCCTTATTCCTTCTCATAAAAATCACACCCTAAAATATACATAGACCATGTATATTTATAGGCAACATAAAAATAAAGAAAAGGAAACACCAAATCCTTCTCCATCTCTAATTCATATGTCTCAAATCTAATATGATTCCAATATCAAGTTGGGCTATGAGTGAGAATCCATTGGGCCTATTATTTTATTGGCTACAATGAATTAATAATTGGCCCGGTCCATGGACCCAATTCAATTAATTCATAAATTAATTTCTACTCCACTAAAAGAAATTAATTGAACTCCAATTAAATAATAAATAACCTCTAAGTCAATATTGCACTTTGACCACTCTATGCATAATTAGTTATCGGATAAATATAGCCATCAATCCGACTACTTAATTAATATATTTATTTTGGTACCTTTGATTATTTCTGGCTCGATCACAATAAAACATTTGTTTGACAAAAATAATAATTTAAATAAATAAATATATAATAAATCATTTTGTCTAAAAACACACGAAAGCCTTCGAATTTACTTTGTGATCAACCATAATCAATACAAAATAAATACAAGTAGCAATGATGCAAATATTGAAAATATAACCCTCTAACTATTAATTACATAACTACCCAAAGTGTCGGTCTAAGGATCCCGAAGAATCCGCCGAACAAATCAAAGTAATTATTAATTAATAAAAGAGTCTATACTTTTCTCATGCTTAAGAGTCAAATGCCATGACGGTGATAGGGAGTAATTGCATACGACGGCTCTCGCAATATATCTCAACCTAACGCGGATCCAGTTCAAGTCTTAATTAATTATGAGTCCATCCATAATTACCGACTATGAACAATTTATAATTACTATTTATATATCATGCATTGATTGTCATCACATACATATATATAAATATTTCTTGTAATTAACTGGACACTATCAATTTCATAGTGAATTGAAACATAATACATTGAATTCACCAATTATATAAATCATAAATATTTCAGATATGTCAGGAACATATGTCAATACAATCCAGATAGGAATTTGCTATGCCAGGGCATATAAATCCTAACAGTTATATGTGGGACAAGTATTGTGCCACAGGTCCTCTCTAGCCACGGTGAGAGTCTGTGTCGTGTTCTTGATTTCGAGAACTCGGTATGTGACGGACTCAATTTTGAGCTGTGGTACTGAGGCATCGCTGCTGCTGTTTTGGCAATTAAGCTCGAATTCGGGATGACCGCAGTATTGTGGCCGATTAGCTCCCCAGAAAGGATAGCCTATGTTGGATATGTTTCCACACTGAAAAAACTGACCACATGTTACATATTTCTCGTCCTCGGCGCACCGACATCTTGGTACATGGAATAACATTAAGATCAAGATCAAGATCATTAACCACAGACAGGAGGTTGAGTAGAAGTGGGTATGCATTTTTCATGGAGGAGAAGACAGAGAATGGAGACTAATGACTTTCACTTTCCATTGGTAATTTGGCAAAATGTAAGTATGTCGTCGAACAATAAAGGAGACTTGGTCTAATTTCCAAAGCAGGATAACCGAAGTCAACCTTCAAAGGCTCCGGTCTCTTATGAGAAATAGTGTTATGTCTCGTTTAGCTAGTGATGCAGGATAAAAAATAATAATAATAATAATAATAATAATAATAAATAAATAAAATTGTGATATTTAGTCTTACATCACAATATTTTCTCATTTATATTTTCTATTCTTACATTTTCATCTCAAACTAAAATTATAGTAATTACTTTGATTTATTTATTTATTTTTACTTCTTTTATTGAATGTGTGTATTACAGTATTAGTGTTCCAAAAATCTCTTCTTCGAATTTGTGGAGATTTTGATCCTTTACGAATCTATATTCGAAGTTGCGACAAGATTTTTATATGTTTTAAAAAAAGAAAAAATTGATTAATTCAATTAGGAAGAAAATGAGGGTAATGGGAATTGGCAAAAATGTTCTCTCTTTTATTTATTTATTTATTAATAATTAAGAAAGAAAGTTATTATAGTCTCTCTAAACTCTAAAGGAATACCATTTTCTAAAATTCCTAAAAATTTAAGAGCCATTTATTAAAAATAAAGGTATTTTTAACTCGATCAATACCATCAATCTCAAACGGACAGGCTAAGGTCGCCGAACAGATTTTTTTAGTGGGCATTGTGGAGGTCCCATGTTTGAGTCAATAGGACCCACCAAATGTTGGAAATGGAATGATAGAAAAAGGAGTAGTTAATTGCGTAATTTGCGTGCATTAAATTGAAGAAGAAAAATTCAAAACCACCGAAAAAAAAAGTAGTGAATTGCTTGCTTTAAATGGAGTAAGAAATTAAGGTTTGGTTGTTTAGCAATATGATTCAAAATTTAAATTATTAAGTATTTTTAACATCTAATCTATATATACTTAATTATTTTTTCATTCAAATTTAATATGGGACAAAGACTCTTCTTGTAACAGTGAGTCAATAGTCAAGTGTGAGAGTTCCAAACCCTCTACGGGCTTTACCTTACACGTCCGGAACACATGTTTGGGTAATACACACTCGGGCATATGCCTTTATATGCTGCAGTGCAGCACGAGTCGTGTATTTTGGTTCCAAGATTGAAAATGTCTAGAAGTCACGGATACTTTGATCTTTCAAAACAAGGAATCAAATGAGACGCTTTTGTGATTGAACAAATCTATGGATTTTTCCTAGACGTGTGTCACTTTGTCAACTTAAACTCAGCCATAATTGACGGCTCACAAAATCTTAGACTTTAATTAATGACATATATAACTAATACTATCCGGAAAAGCACACAAGTTAATAGAACCAATTACACATGATAATACGATTTGGGCATTAGCTCATATGGTACGTTCTCTCCTTATCACAAAAGAGTGTGTCCGTTTGTTTGAACTTTTGGTATGTACATGCTGCTGCTTTAGAAGTGTTCTATTTACAGCAGATCAGAGGAAAGTATAATCGTATAAAACTCTTTGGCTTGTTCTGATCGTTTATAAATTATCTGATTCAATGATATAGGTATAATGAAGCCAGAGAATAACATCACAAACATAGAACCACTTGAGGTGCAATTTGATGACAGATTACTTGATATAATTAGAGATACAATATATATATATATATATATATATATATATAGAGGACCACAACCCCGGAAGCTACAACGTTTTAGTTTTCTTATCAGGCTACTTATAGTAATGGTAATTTAGAGTTGATGAATCATCAGAGTAACAGTAGTTGAATGGCACAAACATGGAGTAACTACTGTCACAAGCCTAAAGCACATCAAAAGGTAAAAGGACAACCAAAGAGTTCATTGATATTATTCTTCCATTCAAATTGAAAATCCTTTTTTTAGTTGGTACACGAAATTTGCGGTAATTTACCTAAAAAAAATACAGAAGAATCTTGTTCCAACCTAGGAGGAGAAGATAGGATGGGTTTAGGAGGAATTTGCAAGGATTGAAGGCTTCCTTCCAACATTTCTATCACAGAATTCATTGATGGGCGATCTGTTGGATTCGTCTGAATGCACCACAAACTCACTATTGTCATTTTCTTTACGGTATCTTTTTCCTCTTCAGTTGTAACACCATAGGGTCTTAGATCCTCACCATGTTCTAACTTCTCATATATGTAGTCCGGAAAATATTTTTCACTTGAATGGATTGTTCTGGCATCAATATCATTTCTTCCACCAATCATTTCAAGAATCATCATTCCATAGCTGTAGACATCAGACTTATGAGAGACCCCTCCAAAATTCCTAGAAAGTACTTCTGGAGCAATGTATCCAGCAGTTCCTCTTGCACCCTCCATCGACATAATACTCGTTTTCCTCTGGCCTAATTTTGCAAGGCCAAAATCAGCTATCTTGGGACAGAAGTCATCATCCAAAAGAATGTTATGAGGTTTTATGTCAAAGTGAACAATCCTTGTGCTGCAACCTCGATGTAAATACTCTAGCCCCCGAGCAACTCCAACGGCAATTTGGTACAATATTTTACAATCTAGATGACAGTTTGAATTCGGATGTCCATCACTATAGATGAACTTGTCCAAAGATCCATTGCTCATGAATTCATAGACTAGAGCTCTTATTTTCCTCTCATAACAGAAACCTAAAAAGGTGACTACATTGACATGGGAAGTTCTACTAATGGTAGCAACTTCGTTGATAAAATCCACTCTGCTACCCTTGTTCTTGCTCAAGACCTTCACTGCAACAAGCTGACCATCTACTAGCTTTCCTTTTTACACAACACCATATCCTCCTTGACCTAGTTTGTTTTTGAATGAGTTGGTCATTCTTTTAATATCGGAATATTTATACCGCTTTGGAACATAGGAACCATAATTCCTAAAAAATGCCTCCTCATTTTGATCTTTCATTGTTTTCTTCCTCCAGAAGTATTTTCTTCTAATGTAGTAGATCATCGAAATAGAGATTAATAGTACAAGTCCAGCCATACTGGTTGAGATTCCTACATGAAAAGAGTGAAGACAGGTGTTGTATTCAGATTTATAGTTATATGAATCCATATCTTAAATGGACTTGAGAATGAGTAAACAGGTAGAGAGCTTACACTGATTATAGATTCCTTTAAACAAGTTTTCGGGCAGAGTAAATAGAATTAGCTTAGTTTAATTTGCTCGAAGTATGTGTTTTAGGAAAAAAAAAAAAAAAAAAAAAAAAATACTCAAACTATGTGCGATAATATGAAATGTTGAACAAAAATTTAAGGAGCACAGAGACACTAGTTCATCTGTTATTATGTTACCTGCGGCAATCTTCAACCCATGATTGAGCCGAAGTGTGGTTGATGCTGTAATATTTGAACCTGTAACATAAGAGTAAAATTTGTTGGATGCCTAGAGAACTTTGTTACTTAAATTAACATGTATGGTACATTTGATGGTGAATTGTGATTCTTAAAATGTAGAACGATTATGATTTTTTTTTAAATGTGAACTCCAGAAAATTGATCATAGCCCTCTCGATCTCTCTTGAAAGAACAGAGAGATTGAGTTGAGGCTACAAGTGTGGTATGCTATGCAGAAGAAAGCTTAGGTTTTCAGATTTAGCCGTTGAATATCGGTGTTTTTGAGTCTTAATGGTTCCTGGTGGGCTTTTGCTATCAATTGGGCTTCGTCCTCTTATGTTTGAATTGTAATTGGACTCTATGAGCTAGTTAAATTCTATTTGGAGGCAGTTTGGGGCTGAAGACCCTTTCAAAATGGTGAAAGTAGCTCAAAATCTGTCTCACTTCTTTGGGTGGAGGGGTGTACTTATATTTCACTATGAAATGATCATTTTGAGTGCTTGATGATGGGAAGATAAATATTTTAAAAAGCGGGATTGAGCAATGTGATCCGACGGTCCAGAAGTTCTATTTTCATTCTAATGGTGAAAGTAATCTAATCCAAGTGGAATTTTGAGTAATTTTACAGAAAATGACCTGAATTTCATTATGAAATCATCAATTTTGCGAGTTGATGATGACAAGATAAAGATTTAAAAGTTTAGAAATCTGTAAGGCTTCTATATAAAATGAACTGAATTTCACTATGAATCAATCATTTTAATTGCTTGATGATGGGAAGATAGAGAGATTTAAAAATTTGGAATTGAGCAACGTGGGCCCCCAGAACCTTAATTTTGCAATTTGATTTATCAAATGATACAATTCGATAAATTATGATCCAAATTAATGTTTTAAACCAATGATGTTAACGGCTGATCATCAGATTTGTTAATGGGCTCTTCATTGTCAAATTTCTGATGTTGAATGGGAGGTGTGGACTTCTTGGCTTCGCCTTCTCATCGATGTAGACTTTTTTGGTCGTGTTTAATCTTATATCTTTCTTTTCGCCAAAAAAAAAAAAAAAAATCCACCTTAGGGGTCATTTGAGAGACTCTAATTGGAGTGATTGATGGACACCTTTTGAAGTTTGGAGTGCGTTAGTGCCTCCGGTGAATTTTAGAGTGCCAAATTTCAACTCTTTACATTTACTAATCTAATTTTTAATTATTCTTGCCTCTAAAAAAAATAATAATTAAAAAATAAATAAATTTCTAATGACGAAAATATGCAAACTAGGGGTGGAGCAAATTGTGGTGTCTACACTCTTGGTCATTGGCCCAAATGGTTTAACCTTCCCTTTTCAATGGAGGGTGAGAGTTCTGGCCACATAGTGTGTTGATGCGTGGCTATTGAGTGGAATACAATGAAACAAGACCAACAAGGTTAGGGCAACGTACCTTTAATGTTGTTACACAGGAATGGATAGGGATGATCAGCGCAAAAGCAAGTAAACACGGTGGAATTGGAATCAGACCCGCATCGTCCACCGAATGTTTCACATTACTTACAGTATGCATCATTTACCGTCCACTGCAACCCGAAACCACCATCAAGAGCTTCTTTGAAAGAAGTCGAATTGCTTTTAAAATCCTCAGCTTCAGATCGAAAAACCGGAACATCCAAGCTGCCACTGCATCTTCCAAGTTCAGAGTTACTGCTGGAACTCTGACTCAATTCCGACGACACATAATAATAAGTACGGTTGCTGGTCAAACCGGTGGTGGGATCCTTCTTCACTGGGCAATCAAACTCATTGGCCACCCGTATTGGGCCAGAAATGGAGGGGCAACCATAGTATAGCTTTAATCTCTCTGTACTGGAAGTGTATATAAAGAGGGTGGGATCTAAAGCTTGGTTGTGGAGATATATGGGACAATTATTGATCCACTCTCTAACCACGGTGAGAGTCCGACTGGAATATTCGATTCCGAGGACTCGATAGGTGATGGAGTCAATTTTGAGCTGTAGTAACACTGATAAGGCATCACTGTTTTGGCAATCGAGCTCGAATTTAGGGTGTCCACAGTATTGTGGCCTGTTAGCTCCCCAGAATGGATAACCTATGTTCAAAAATTCTCCACATCGAATCAACTCATCACGACATTTTACGTATTGCTCATCAACCTCGGCACACCAATATCTTGGTACATGGATTAGGATTAATATCAAGATAATCAAGAACAGAGGAGAAGATGGGGATTGGAGACTAATGAATTTCTGTTTCATTTGGTAATTTGGCAAAATGTTTGTACGAGGAAGGAATGAATATTGAGACTTAGGTATAATTTTTTTGTTAGTCAATTGGTTCGTCAACTCAAAAGATTCCTAACAACCCCCTTCCTACTTTCCACCCACGAAAGTACGCACGAAAGTAGAATGAAAATGGCATTCAATCAAAAGACTTGAGCCAAAGTCTTTGGCTCTATCCTAAAAGGTAAATATAGTATTTTGGTCTTATTATTATTATTTTTTAATGTGTATTTGTTAAAAAAAAATCTGTTTTTAGATAATTATTTTAAAAAATAAAAATAAAAATAATATTATATTTTTTTGAATTCCTTAGAAATATATTTTAAGTTATAAATTAAGCAAGTCCAGTTTAATTTTTTTTTTTTTCCTTTGAAAATAGAAAACTGAAACAAACAGCCCAATTCTCACTCTCCTTTTTTTTTTTTCAATAATTAAGAAAGTGATAATACTCTCTCCAAAGAAGAAAAATACCAAATGGGGGCATTCAAAATGAGTACTAAAGATAAGCCTCTTAGTAAAACCAATGTTCACCCAATATATCGATTCGATACTCTTAAACATAATATTAACGATTCCTTAGTGGTTTCCAATTGGTATTGTTGCTCTATGGGATGTGGATCATTCAAACATGGTTTCTATGCTATGTTGGAAGAACATATACTGAGATTTGGTGTGAAGAAATGTGGAGCATAATTGTTGGAATGCTAAAATTTTTATATTTCATCTACACTTTAAAATGGTAAGGAAATTCAATGTAATGTCCCGAATTTTTCTGATTTTTTTTAAATTTTTATTTCATTTATTTTTTATGCATCGTTTTGCGTGTTACACGCCTCCAAGAGTCGTTAGATCATTTTCTTGAGCTAAGAGCTCTAGGAGGGTATTTTTAATGAGGTAACGTGATTATTTTTATAATTTTGCAGGAGTCGGGACGATTTCCAGGTTCGAGAACTCTTCTCGGTTTTACCATTTTTCTTGAGGGACATTATGGACTTTTCACATGAACATACATATGTTTGTAGATATATATTTTATTAGGAAGATATTTTGTGGGACATGAAGGGTATGAACCACCATTGAGTAACACTGCGTTGTGGACCAAGGCTTCAAAGCTGAACATACATAAAAGAGGGAATTCAGTTTTCAATAGATATGATTCCTCATTTGATCCTGTTCTTTTTGAGTAAATTTTGGTCTAAAAAGTATTGAATCATCCCCCCGCCCACCCATCTGATTCCCCTCCATGACCAAGTGTCTTCTTAGGGTTCCAAATGCCAAAAAATAGTTAGACATTCTATTAATTATTTCATTCCATGAGTGTCCGAATTGATTTTGGTTGTACATTTATTGTCACAGCCTCTTACAGGCCCAACAATGTTTCCATGTACAAGACTACAATATAATTTTTTTTTTCCTGATATATGTCGTTCTTCGGGTCTGTAAAGTGCAAAAAAATATAGGGGCATGACTGTCTCAATTGCACTTGCTGTCTGGTTTTAGGAGTACTTTTGGACGCTATTGGTTAGATTAGAATATTCCATATGTGACAAGTATACAGTACTGGGCTTGTCAAATGGGGCGTTTAAACTGGATGGCCCAGTCAAAGCCCAAATTCAGTCTAGCTTCATGCATACCTAAGAGCAATTTTTGTGTGTGCCTATGTAATGAGTATAAACTTTTATTCAAGAAAACAAAAAAGCATAAATCACTTGAAATTCTTCAAAACTTTCTACTTTTACTACAATTCATGATTAAGATAAGAGGGGGTAAAAAAAAAATCCGTAAGTATCAGCATTAAGACAAAAGCGCATCAGAAGGAGAAAAATCTTCTTCCAAAGAACATATTAATATTATTCTTCCATTCAATTTGTGGAGTCAATACTCGAACTTTGTGGTAATAATGGAGAAGAATCTTCTTCCAACCTAGAAGGAAAAGATGCGACGGGTTTAGCTGGAATTTGCAAGGATTGAAGGCTTCCTTCCAACATTTCTATGACAGTAGTAATTGATGGACGATCTGCTGGATTGGTTTGAATACACCACAAACTCACAATGGTCATTTTCTTTGCTGTTCCTTTTTCCTCTTCGGTTGTAAATCCATTAAAATCCTCATTGTGTTCCAACTGCTCATAAATGCAGTCCGGAAAATATACTTCAGTTGAATGGACTCTTTCAACTTCAACATCCTTTCTTCTGCCAATCATTTCCAGAACCATCATTCCATAACTGTAGACATCAGATTTATGAGAGACTCCTCCAAAATTCCTAAAACATACCTCTGGAGCAATATATCCAATAGTTCCCCTTGCACCCACCGTCGACATAATACTCTTTTTCCTTTGTCCTAATTTAGCAAGGCCAAAATCAGCGATTTTGGGACAGAAGTCGTCATCCAAAAGAATGTTCTGAGGTTTTATGTCGAAATGAACAATCCTTGTGTTACAACCTCGGTGTAAATACTCTAACCCTCGAGCAACACCAATTGCAATTTGGTATAATGTTTTGCAATCTAGCTGATGGTTTGAATTCGGAGATCCATCATTATAGATGAACTTGTCCAAAGATCCATTGCTCATGAATTCATAAACTAAAGCTCTTTTGTTCCTCTCATAACAGAAACCTAAAAAATTGACTATATTGACATGGGAAGTTCTACTAATGCTAGCAACTTCATTGATAAATTCCTCTCCGGTACCCTTGGTCTCGTTCAAGACCTTCACCGCCACAAGCTGACCATCTAATAGATTTCCTTTGTACACAACACCATATCCTCCTTGGCCTAGTTTGTCTCTGAATGAGTTGGTCATTCTTTTAATATCTGAATAATTATACTTCTTTGGAACATGGGATCCATAATTCCTAAAAAATAACTCAACATTTTGATCATTCACATTTTGACGATTCATTGTTTTCTTCCTCCATAAAATCAGAACAGAGATTAATACAAGTCCAGCCACACCGACTGCAATGCCTGCATGAAAAGAGTGGAGAAAAGTCATATATTCAGATTTATACTTAGATAAGCGCCATATCTTAAATGGGCTAAGGATGAGTAAATAGGCTATGAGCTTATGCTAAAATATAGATTGTTCTAAGCAATTATTGGGGCATAGTAAAGAGAATTAGCGAAGTTCAACTAAAAGTATGTGCAGTATATAGAAAAATTGGCTTCCCTAAAATGTTGAGAAAAATACAAGGAGCACGAAACGTTTATTTTTCTGTTATTATGTTACCTTCTACAATCCTCAGCGAGCTTCTAGTTAATCCTGTAACATAAGAGAAAAATTATTTGGATGACTAATCAATATTGTTACTTTAACTAACATGTATAACACATTACAAAGGAAACTGAAGATAATTCTGCTCACAGTAACTTATCAAAAAAAAAAATATTCTGCTCACAGCCACAGCATAGGAGGAACTTTGTGATGAATAGTTAATTTTGTATTTACAGTTTTATGTTAAAATTATACTTAATACTTGAACATACAAAGATCAAAACTAGAAAAATAGATTCAGAAATCGCATTTAAATAAGGAGTATATGTAATGGTAATTATGGTAGGACATGCCCCGTGTTAAATATAGTGAGAACCTTTCTTTAAAATGTATGCTGAAAAGTCATGTAGTTGGTGGTTTCACACAATTTTTCTTGCCCCTGCTATTAGACCAACTCAAGTTGTTTGTTTTCTTGGACTTCACAAGGAAAAACAAATTTATGATGAAACAAATTTTTGCTGAAAAATTAATGCCTACTATAAGTTAAAATACAAAATAAAATAAAATAAAATAGGCCTGATAATGAAACAAGACCAACAAGGTCAGTCAGGGGCACGTACCTTTACACTGGGATGAATAGGGCCGATCAGCGCAAAAGCAAGTAAACATAAGCCAAGTAGAATTGCTTGACGAAGAATTGCTTGACCAATAATCAAACCCACATCGTCCGCCTGATTTTACACATTGGTCACAGTTATATGTATCATTCCCTGTCGAGTACTGCAACCCGAAACCACGGTCAAGAGCTGCTCTTATGCTTAACGAAGAATTGCTTTTCAAAGCCTCAACTGCTGATCGAAAAACCGGAACATTGATGCTGCTATTGCATGTTCCCAAGTCAATGTTACTACCGTTAGCCCTTAATTCCGGCGACACAAAATAAGTACGGCTGCCGGTGGTACCATTCACTGTGCAATCAAACTGAAGGGGCAACGGTTGTGTTTGGCTATGATTGAAGGCCACGGCGCAATCATAGAACAGCGTCAAGTTCTGGGTATTCCAAAAATTGTAACTGAAGTAGCTGGAAGTAAAAGCAATGTTATTGAAAGATGTGGGACAAATATTGTGCCACAGGTCATCTCTAGCGACGGTGAGAGTCCGTGTTGCATATTCGATTCCAAGGACTCGGTATCTGATGTGTTGAATTGTGATCTGTGGTGGTGAGGCATCGCTGTTTTGGCAACTAAGACCGAATCCTGAGCGACCGCAGTAGTTTGGCCGATTAGCTCCCCAGAATGGATAACCTACGTTTCTAATGTTTCCGCATTGAAACAACTGACCACATCTTACATATCGCTCATCCTTGGCACACCAACATCTTGGTACATGGATTAACATGAAGATCAATAACAGACAGGAGGTTGAGTAGGTGTGGGTATGCATTTTTCAGATACATATACATATACATACATATGTATAGAGAGAGAAAGATGAGTTGAGAGATGTAGTTTGGAGACTAATGACTTTCAGTTTCATTTGGTAATTAGGCAAAATGTTAGCTATAACGAGATTTGGTCTAATTTTTCTAAGCAAGGAACTGAAGGAGAAGCTTCTCCTTCAATTAAAAAAAAAATACAGATGTATTATTAGTCAATTGATTCGTCTATTTAAAAACAAATCGGTCAACTTCATTGATTCAATAATACACCAGATAATGTAAATTAATATTAGCAGTACTATATACAGACCCGTTCAATTCAAGTTAATATTAATGTTTGCTAGTTCTGCATTTACTGGGGGAGGTAGTGGGTACAGGAAAATGGATAAGGGTAAAATTGTCATTTTACCACCTCCGGTTTTATCAGGCCTGGTATGCCAATATTATTCTTTTGCTTGTAATTATACTAGTAATTTTCTATGGTGGAGGTTATTGTAATTATCGCCTTTAATTTGATTGATTGGTAACATTTGTGAACACAGGCTTTCGATTTAGTTTAGACAGTTGAATCAATTCGATTCAATTCCATTTTTTTATAAAATTTCTTAAAATTGGTCGTGTTTGCATTTATTGTCTAAATCGAATCAAACCATTACAAATAATATTTAATATTTTGAGGTATAGATGACGTATCTTGCTGCATTTTGTGAGAATGGTAAAAGCTCAGTTTCATAGATTCTCATATTAGGTGACACACTTTACAGCATAGGGAGAAAGAAAAGTTACAAATGCAGAATTTCTTTAATTTTTTTGATATATTTTTGCACAAATAGATTGACGATAATTACTATAAAGAATCACACTCAAATAAGTTAGGAATTTATAGTTAGTGTTCATAAGTCATTTCAGAAAAAAAGTAATTAAATACTAAATTACTTTGGACAAGAGCTAGTGTAATTTTAAGAATGAATGCTTGCGTCGTTACAAATTTATATGTACTTGGTAAAAAAAATCAATGTATGCACAAAAGTTGGTCCATAATTAAAAATAATAAAAAAGTATTTTTATTTCTGGTCATGGAACATGCTTAGAATGAATGCGTGAATTATTTGAAGTACCCAAGTCATATTATTTTTGGTTTTATAAACTGCGAAAGCTTGGGCATTTCCTTTGTCCTCCTTTTTCCTTCTCCTCCGTGGGAAAAGAAGGCAAAATAGATTACACTGTTTGTCTCAGAGAATTTAAAATAGTAGGTAGAGTTAACACTCAACTCATATATATTAATGTCATTTTTCATTCGGATTCGATGTGGGACAAGACTTTCTTGTAATATTTTTCCCCAGCCAAACTTACAACGTCCTTGTTATAGTCAGCCACCTTACCTACCCAAGGTGATTCACCAAAAGCGTCCGAACTAGACGCCAAGTATGACACCGAATCAAGAATTGAGTCATTGTAACAATTACAATATTGAATTTTAGGAATGCTCTTGGACAAGACAATATTGGTTAGATTATTACACTATACCATGTGTGACAAGTATAGTACAAGTATACTGGGCTTGTCAGTCAAAAGCCCAAATTCAACCTATCTTCATCCTGTATGCCTTGGACCAATTATTTGTGTGCATGTGTTTTTATACCATGCATTGGCACAAATCAAAAATCTCTTGGACTTGGCCCAAATTTTTTAGGCCAATATTTAACGCGTCTAACAAATTTTTTTTTTTAGCAAGAAAAACGCGTCTAACGTTTGCTTGTGGCAAGACGAATTAAAAAAATAAAAATAGAATTAAAAAAAAAGACGAATTAAATATATGGGACCAGTTTTATGTAAGGTCTTGACCCTAGAAATGAACACAGTTTTATGTAATGTCAAATTTTTCATGCCCTAATGAAATTACAATTGCATTGAATATCAAATCTCACTTTCAACTGTTAGAGCTCGAACTTGAGCCGAGTCCAACTTGGGCACAAACGTGGAGTAACAGGAGGTTGAGTAAAAGTGGGTATGCATTTTAATAGAGGAGGAGATGGAGATTGGAGACTAATGACCGTCCAATGAATTGATAAAGAATAAAAATCTACGTCAATTCATTCGTCAACTTAAAAGACTCCATGGGTGTAAAGACAACGAACCCATTGTTACGTTTCCACATTGAAGTGATAGGACAGGAGAATGGTATTTACGCAGTAGACTTCAATGAAAGTCTTGGACTGTCCCAAAGTGAAATATGTGTGGTGTTGATAATTTTTTGGATACCAAATTTAATAGTCCATACCCTTAATTAGATTGCAATTGAAGTGAATCAAGTCTCACATTCAATTGTTTGAGCTCAAACTAGAGTCCAGTCGAACTTTTATTGTTTGAACTCGGCTTGGACATATGAAGAAATCGGGTTAGGAACGTGATTTTATTCCAAAGTTATAATTCTACTGGGGATAAATGTTGTCCTAGAGTGGGCTTATTGGATTTTGTAGCATAAGAACATATGAAGAAAATCGGGTTAGGAACGTGATTTTATTGCTGGAGTAAGCCAGCAATTCTACTTTTGTTACAATTCAAGATCAAAAGAAAAGAAATGAAAAAAAAAAAAAAAAAAAAACACATGGAGTAACAGTGCCAAGCCAAAAGGGCAAAAGATAATCAAAGAGCTCATCCCCCATTCAATTTTAATACCCTTTTCTTTAGTCGGTACTCGAACTTTGTGGTAATAATACAGAAGAATCTTGTTCCAGCCTAGGAGGAGGAGGAGCTAGGATTGGTTTAGGTGGAATTTGTAAGGATTGAAGACTTCCTTCCAACATTTCTACTACTGTAGTTATGGATGGGCGACTTGCTGGATTGGTTTGAATGCACTACAAACTCACTATGCTCATTTTTCTTGCTATATCTGTTTCTTCTTGGCTTGTAACACCATCAAGTCTTAGATCATCAGCATGTTCCAACTGCCCATAAATGCAATCTGGAAAATATTTTTCATTTGAATGGACAGTTCCAGCTTCAATATCATTTCTTGCACCAACCATGTCAAGAACCATCATTCCATAACTGTACACATCGGATTTATGAGAGACCTCTCCAAAATTTCTAGAAAATACTTCTGGAGCAATGTATCCAACAGTTCCTCTTGCACCAACCATCGACATAATACTAACTTTCCTCTGGCCTAATTTAGCAAGCCAAAATCAGCAATTTTAGGGCAGAAGTCATTATCTAAAAGAATGTTTTGAGGTTTTATGTCAAAATGGACAATCCTTGTACTGCAACCTTGGCGTAAATACTCTAACCCCGAGCAACACCAACTGCAATTTGGTACAGTGTTTTGCAATCTAGATGACTGCTTGAATTCAGAGATCCATCATTGTAGATGAACTTGTCCAAAGATCCATTGCTCATGTATTCATAGACTAGAGCTTCTTTTTTTTTTTTTTTTCCCCCTCATAATAGAAACCTAAAAACGTGACTACATTTACATAAGAAGTTCTACTAATCCTTGCAACTTCATTGATCAATTCCTCTCCGTTACCCTTGGTCTCGCTCAAGACCTTCACTGCCACAAACTGACCATCTAATAGCTTTCCTTTGTACACGACACCATATCCTCCTTGGCCTAGTTTGTCTCTGAAAGAATTGGTCATTCTTTTAATATCTGAATAACTATACCGCTTTGGAACATGGGATCCATAATTCCTAAAAAATGCCTCCACATTTTGATCATTTGTTGTTTTCTTCCTCCATGAGTATTTTCTTCTATTATTGAAAATAATCATAATAGAGATTAATGTAAGTCCAGCCACAACACTGGCTGAGACCCCTGCATGAAAAGAGGGGATAAACATCATGTATTCAGATATTCTACTATAGAAGCGCCATTATCTTAAATGGGTGAAAAAAAAGAAAAAAAAAAAAAGAAAAAAAAAAGAAGAATTATAGATTGCTTTAAACAATTATTCAGTTGGAGTAATGAGAATTGTGATACCCCTTGGATTCGAGATACGGGTTGATCAGGCCCAAGCCCGAACCCGAGGGAAATATCAAACAATTAATATTTAAAACGAACACGGATTACAAAAATGAAATAAGAAATAAATGATTAAGAGCTAAAAGAAATCTAAGTTTAAAAATCCTTGAATAAATAAAATTAAAAATCCAGAAATCCAATCCTCCATAAAACCTCCAATAATTAACAACTCGGGAATCCATCACTAGTGGACCCCTAATAAAAATTCAAACTGAAATGAAATTACAAAAAGAACATCCAAAGTAAACCATGGAGAAAAGTCCTACGTCGTCTGAAGAGTGAGTGATAGTCTCTGCTTAGCACGATCAGGTCTAAAACTGGAACTGGCAAATACCTGAAAAATAGAAGTGGGTCAGGCCCACGAACAAGTTATATCCTACTACAATCCGAACAGAGACTCGATACGTATGTACACCCTAATCAACTCAACAATAACTATGTAGTCCGTACATATATATATATATATATATATATATATATATATATATATATATATATATATATATATATATCCACACTATCGGACTCTTACTAGACTATGATGAGAGTCTCAACCTGAGTAGAAGGCATCATGCAAAACGCACCTTAGTGGGCATGACTACCTAAGCCTAACAGGGTATACCTCAACCAACATAGTCAGCTACGCATCCTACTGCATATACGCTCCCTAACTGTCGACTCTGAGACTCAAGCTCATATCGCGGTACCATAAAAATATATTTAAAGTCCTATCCTATCCATCCATAAGAAATCTAGTAAGCCGTTCAGCTTGTTCAGCTGCACTGACTTACACATCCATAGCAAGTAATCCAGTTAGTCATTCAACTTTGTTTCAGCTGATCTAACTTAAATATAAGTAAGATTTATTTTATAATCCATTCCCTTATTCTATATAGGTAGGATGTAGTATTTTGAAACTAATCCGTCCCTAGTATGCCACCGTCCCATACCGGTGCATACAATCCATACATCTAGCAGTTGACAAAACAAATATTAAATGTACATATCAACTGATCCATAATAAGCGTAAGAGAAATATATAAATTAACATGCTTATTCCAGTAATTGATGACTCTAAGTAAATGTATACATCAATTAATTTCATGACAAACATAATAAAAATAGATAAATTATCATGCTC